AAGCTATTTGAGATTTTATTTAATCTCATATGGTGATAATGTAAATGTCGTATATTTTTTTTGATCTGTGATTGCTCCTGTCGTCTTCTCTTGATCAGAATTGATCTATCGATGAACTTGGGAGTTCCTCTATGCAAGGGTGCTCTGGTTGTTTTACTAATTAGTGGTAGGGTTCAGAAGCAGATGAGGAAAATGTGTTAAATGTGGAGAGCTTTCATGTTTTGTTTATATTTCTTTTCTGTTAGTATGTTGCCTCTTGTAAACAGCTAGTGTTGTAGGTTTTGTGGCCTTGTATATGTGAAGTTCTTACCTTTTATTTTCAATGACAAGTCTGTGAAAAATGAATTTGCAATGGAATACTGCATGCCTGTTTATAAATGTTGAAGGCTGCCTATCTATGGACTTTGAGGGTTCTATACGTGGTTGTTTATAAATTATCATATGTGGGCCTCTAGAATGCAACTCATGATGGTTCATGCTTGTTAAACTTTCATTTTGAAGAAATTGGATTTGTAATGAGTATGAAGGTCAAAATAAATTGACATTTAGTGGTGTTAATTGTTTTCATTGCCTAAGCACTAGAAAGTGGTTGATATCCTTCCTCCTGACCATAAAGCTCAACGCCCTATCTCAATTGAAGGTGGAGTTGACACCAAGTTGTTAGGCTTTCTTTTCGGGTTGTTGGTCTTAATCTTTAATTTGCAGTTCAAATATTTTATTGAAATATGTCAAATCCTTTTCTATATATTTCCTTTTGCTGTGTGGTTCTATCGAGTAATAGACATACACATAAATGTATGCAGCTGGGTAACTAGTTTCCGATAGAATGATTATGATTACAGCTTGGATGGAACAATGACTTGATTGTTTCTTTTTGAGGAAAATGGTTTGATTGTTTCTTCAGATTGTTCTTATTTTTTTCCTTTAACTTCCATGTAACACCCATTTTGTCAGCCTTTTCTCATTAATTGGTTTTATATTCAATTTGGCCTCAGTATTTTGTTTTGCATCTCCTTTGTAAGCCAACTTTTTCCTGCTGGATTCAAGTTTATAACATCTTTGGAACTCAGTTGGGAATCTGATATTTGTTTCCATTTGCATGGTACATTGTTATTCAATTATGGTAAAACTGATTATTCATTCTGTTTGAATTTCTAAACTACCTGGGGAGAATTGTTTATTATTTTTATCTGATATGTTTCTATTTAACTTTTGGAATTTGATCACCTTGAGTACGCTTTGATGTTCTTTATTTTTGTGTAGATTTGGAATGTTCTACTCCTAGAAGTATATTGTTGCCTGATAGTTTGACTGTTCAGCAGATACTAATATCATGAAATTTTTTGTGATTTTTCAAAAAACTACAAGTAATATCTTGTTAGTTGAAGTCAATCTAAGCCCCTTCTAATAGCGAATTCTTTACAGGTTCATCTGCTGCTGATTGGTCACAGGATGGAGAATTCAATAGTTGGTTAGATCATCATATGCTTGATATGGAAAATGCTCAGGAGCTCAAGAGATGGTCCTCGAATCCTCAACCTTCTGCTCATTTTGCAGAAGCAAAACCTTTGTACAGAACATCTTCGTATCCTCAGCAGCAACCGCAACTTCATCATTTCTCCAGTGAACCAATTCTTGTGCCAAAATCAACTTTCACATCTTTTCCACCACCTGGTAGCAAATCTCAGCAGGCTTCACCACGCCACCTAAATATACATTCTCTTACTGGTGGACCTCAATCGCCTTACTCTGCACCGAATCTCTCTCCAATTTCCAAATCTAACCTTCATCTGGCCCTTTTGTCCCATGGGTTCCATTATGGTGGGAATTTGCCCCAAGTCATCTCTTCTGGCCATTCTTTTAATAGCAGGCCACAAAATCACTGGGTTAACAACGCTGGTGTCTTGCATGGAGATCATTCTGGCCTCTTACATAATTTACTACAATGGCAATTACCTCACCAAAATGGCCCAATGTCGCAACAGTTGTTATCAGCTCAGCAGCAGTTGCAGCAGCAACAAAGACTGCACCAACCAGTTCAATCATCTTTTGCCCATTTTGCAGCACTCCAGTCTCAACTATACAATGCACATCCTTCATCAACACATAAAATGATGCTTGGATTTTCTGATACTAGGGATCAAAGACCTAAATCATCACATAGAGGCAGACAAAATATTCGTTTCTCTCAGCAGGCCTCTGAAACTAGTTGTCCGAGAAGTGATAGTGGCTTTCAATTTAGGTCCAAGTATATGACTTCTGATGAGATTGAGAGTATCCTTAGAATGCAGCATGCAGCTACTCACAGCAATGATCCATACGTAGATGATTATTACCACCAAGCTCAACTGGCCAAAAAATCTTCTGGGTTGAGAGGGAAGCACCATTTTTACCCATCTCACTTGAAGGAGGTTTCTACTCGAGGCCGTAATAGTACAGAACATCATTCACATGCCCATGTTGATGCTCTTGGCAAGATGCCCCTCCCTTCTATACGTAGGCCTCGTTCCCTACTTGAAGTCGACTCTCCATCTGGTTCTATTGATGGAAGCTCAGAACAGAAAGTCTCCGAAAAGCCTCTAGAACAGGAACCATTGGTTGCAGCTAGAGTTACCATTGAAGATGGCCTTTGTCTTCTTCTTGATATCGATGATATTGATCGGCTCCTGCAGTTCGGTAAGTCCCAGGACTGTGGGTCTCAGCTCAGGCGGAGACGGCAAATCCTTTTGGAAGGGTTGGCAACGTCACTTCAACTTGTAGATCCATTTAGCAAAAGTGGCCAGAAAGTTGGGCCTACTCACAAGGATGATATTGTGTTCTTGCGGATAGTGTCACTTCCAAAGGGGCGAAAGTTGCTCTCCAGGTTCCTGCAGCTACTCATCCCTGGAAGTGAGCTAACTCGAATTGTATGTATGGCTATTTTCCGTCACTTGAGGTTTCTATTTGGTGGCCTTCCCTCTGATGCACAAGCTGCGGAGACAGTCACAAATCTTGCAAAGACAGTTTCAACGTGTATTCAAGGCATGGATCTTCATGCAGTCAGTGCTTGTCTAGCAGCAGTTGTTTGTTCTTCAGAGCAGCCACCACTCCGACCCCTTGGTAGCCATGCGGGGGATGGTGCCTCTCTTGTCCTGGTTGCTCTTCTTGAAAGGGCAGCTGAAGTAATCAATCCTGCTGTCAGCTGTAGCAGTCCTAATGATGTCCTCTGGAGGGCTTCATTTGATGAATTTTTTGCACTGCTTACCAAGTATTGCCGGAGCAAATATGAAACCATATATACTCAAAATCAGGGAAGCTCAGATGTTTTGGATTTAGCTATAAAGAGGGAAATGCCTGCTGAGCTTTTACGTGCCAGTCTTCAGCACACCAATGAGGACCAGCGTAAATATTTATTAAATTTTGGTCGCAAATCCACACCTATTAGTGGGTCCAGCTCTCATGCCAGGAATAGTGGCCAGATAAATTCTGAATCCGTGAGGGGTTGATGGAGGATGGACCTGATGTCAAAGGTGTCTTACACTAAAGCTGCTTTTCAGTAGTTCTCAAGACGTATGGAGTGAATTTGTGGCAAGTGGATTGGAGCCTAGTGGCGTGCATCTATGTTGTAGGAATCTGTTTTAAGGACTCATTATTATCTGTTCTATTTTTCTTCTTGACTTCTTAAATCTGGATAAATTGTGTATTGTGATGAAAACTTATTCGATGGGAGTTTGTAACTGGAAGTCCCATCTTCCGAGGAGCTTTATTTTGGTGCGCTCTGCTGAAACTCCTGTCAAAACAGCAAACCTAGGGAATAGGAGAAAAGGAATAAGGGGGATATGTATTGTACAGGGTGGGGTTAACGGAACCTTCTTTGTGCCCCATGTCTTTTATTTTTTCTTTTACAGGGACACCAGTGTTTTATGTGGTGGAAAAAGGCGTGATTCATACACGTCGTCTGGTAACTAACCTGTTTGACGAGATTTTTCTACAAAACGCACAATCGTCTGATCAAGAATTTGTCAATCTCATGTTGGTCTCCTCTGTCTTGGCTTTCCCTGAGGATTTCGTTCCATATTCCCTTAGGTTCTCGGAGTTACTTACAGACGATTGTATGATGATGTGATGCAGTGCAGAATAGTTAGTCTTTTGACTCTTGAAGTTACTTTAGGATGGCCTATGTTGGAGCTCAAAGATTCTGTTCTAAACTATTCTCACAGAAGATTGAATGATACTGGTTGGGGTTTAAGGTCATTTTATTTACTGGTAGCACAATTTGATTCCTTTTGTCATAGCTCAGAAATGTAACTGTTCAGAGTTTAAAAGTGAAAACTAGTTGTATTTTTTATGTGAAAAGTATTTTTTTTTTTTTTTTTTCGAAGAAATTGAATTATCAAGAAATTTAAAGCTAGTTCATAACACCTGAATGGAGAAATAGAATTCGTTTTCAAATGAATTTTGAGAAAATGAGGACTCACACTTAGAATAAATTTTCATATTTGATGTAATCCAATTGAATTATTTTGGTGAGAACAAATTTACTTTGAACTAAAATTTTATTTTTATTCAAGTACGTCATATGTTTTCATTTTTTTACACAATTTGAAATTATTCATATTTATTATGTAATAATCTACTTGCAAACAAATATATATGTGTATATATTTAGATGTGAGAACTAAAGTTAATACATATATAATTCATATATATGAAGAGAGAACGAAATTTAGGAATTACCATTCATGAAATCTTTTGATTGATGCTTCAAAAATATTTTGATTTGATCATGTATTGTTTTTGAGTTCCGAAATTACTCTCCACTTATAATTGTCAATTTATACAAATTAGAATAATAATGGACATAATAGAACATCAAAAAAAAAAAAAAAAAAAAGAAACCAAACAAACCAACTTCGCTGGGACCTTTTTTTTGGCGTGGGGTTTAAAATACTTCGCTGGGAGTTGAAACCTGTGACCTATCCCGTTTAAACCCTGAAAAATATATCTTTCCCCTTCAAACATATCTAACGCTAAAACCCTAACAACCGTACCCTCTGTATCTTCTCGTCTTTCCTCCAAGACCCCATCGGCATCAAGGAAACTCCCTCAATGATGATGAGCTCAGTGTTAAGAAGATCGTCTTCCATGGCTGCTAGACGAACACTCGCTGCCGCCTCCACCACCAATTCCATCGACGCTCTCTTACACCATCTATTATCTCCCGCCACGCCGCCTACTGGGCCTTTTGCGGCCAAAGCTGGTTTCACCTCGGTCTCAACCGTACCTTTATTTAACCTCAGAGCTCAGGATCGTCCGTTCTTGCTCAAAGCGAGAGACTTCCATGTGAAATCTGGACCGTTGAGCTTCAAAGCGTCGCTTGCACCGCAAGCTGAGTACGCAGTGGATGAATACGATACCTTTGATGAAGAGAAGGGGCTTAAGGGAATTAGCAGCAGCAACAAGAATAGTGTTAGTGATGATGGACTTGAGATTTCTAAGCTTGGAATTTCGAAAGAAATTGTTACAGCTCTGGAGAGCAGGGGCATCACCAGACTCTTTCCTATCCAGGTAATCTTTTTTGCTATGTTAGGTTAAATTTATTTTTCTTCTATTTTCAATGAATGTAAAAAAATCAGAGTTCCAAAGTTCTGGGTGGTGGTGGAAATTGTACTCGTGGTCTCCCGTAGCATGAACGTAAAATTCATTATCAGGATGAACTTTCGATACTCAGAATTTTGTTCTTATTATCTGATTTTCAATGGATTTTTGTTTCCAATGGCGACTAATTGTTGGGAAAACCATCAAGGAACAGTGCTTAAATATCCTAAACACTAATCCATTCTAATGCGTATTTTCTTCTCCTGAGAGAAAAGAGCCTTTATTTTTTTCCTCGATTCTAGTTAATTTTATCTTTCATTTTTATTTTCTTTTACATTCTATCTCCATTAAATTATCCTTTTCATTTTGACATTCTATAGAGAGCTGTGCTTGAGCCAGCAATGCAAGGGCGTGATATGATTGGCCGTGCCAGGACAGGAACAGGAAAAACTCTTGCTTTTGGAATTCCAATACTTGATAGAATCATCCAATTCAATGCTAAGCATGGGTTTGTACATAAATCACTTCCATTCAATGATTTAGCTTAGTCCGTTTTCCTTTCTTGCTTGAACATTTATAGATGATGGTGCTAATTTCTTATTATCTTTATTTTTATAGTGATTATGTTTTCATGTCCATTGGTTCAGGCGTGGAAGGAATCCTTTGTGCTTGGTGTTGGCTCCAACAAGAGAGCTTGCACGCCAAGTTGAGAAGGAATTCCGAGATTCTGCACCCAGCTTGGATACAATATGTGTTTATGGAGGTACACCAATTGGTCGTCAAATGAGGGAGCTTGACTATGGTGTTGATATTGCGGTTGGCACACCTGGTCGCATTATTGATCTACTCAAGAGAGGTGCTCTAAATTTATCGGAGGTTCAGTTTGTTGTTCTTGATGAAGCTGATCAGATGCTTCAAGTAGGTTTTGCAGAGGATGTTGAAACAATCTTACAAAGGTTGCCACAGAATCGTCAGAGCATGATGTTTTCAGCAACAATGCCAAATTGGATCAGAAGCCTCACACAGAAGTACCTAAAAAATCCACTAACTATTGATCTTGTGAGAAGGCCCTTCCTTCTTGATTGTTAGTTATATATTTTTATGAACTTTTTTTGTTTCATTATTTAGCGTGAAACAAAAAATTGAGTTAAAAAACATGGGACTTGTGCTTGTTGCAATAGTATTTCTATTTTCACACTTTGTGCTGTATAATGTAGGTTGGAGATTCAGATCAGAAGCTAGCAGATGGAATTTCCTTATATTCAATAGGATCAGACATGTATGGAAAAGCATCCATTATTGGTCCTCTGATAACAGTATGCATCATGAAACATCATTTCTTCTACTTCTTTCTATCTGTTTTTTTTTTTTCCTGTATTTAATCTTTTGGGCTATGTTTAATGCTATTTGATTTTCTTTAATGTGAACTATTAGCAACATTTGTAGTATTCTTTGTATCATAAGACAAATTTTTAGTTATTTCGTGCTTTCCTGGAAGCCAACATCAGAATGAGATTTGTGCTTGTTAGGAACATGCAAAAGGAGGAAAATGTATAGTATTTACTCAGACAAAACGTGATGCTGATCAACTTGCATGTGCGATGGCGAGAAGCTTTAAGTGTGAAGCTTTGCATGGTGATATATCACAAAGCCAAAGGGAGAGAACACTTTCTGGCTTCCGAGATGGGCGCTTCAATATTTTAGTTGCTACCGATGTTGCTGCCCGAGGTCTTGATATACCTAATGTTGATTTGGTAAGTTTTACCTTTTAACATTTTTATTATATTTATTCTATTTCAAAAAGAACATTTTTATTATATTTATATTTGTCTTGTTTTGATGTTTCTTGTATTTAAATAGTCTTGGAACCATTTTGAGCTCCAAGCATTTTTCATCAAAACTCTGTAGCTGTTGTTTATGAAGAAAAATGGAAGGACATACCATTTTATTCCAGTTACTACTGAATCATTATTCTCATTTTACTTGGATGTTGCGGATGTGGAAGCCATATAACTATTGGTTTCTTTCTTTTGTTTTTCTTTAAGCTAATGCAAGTTGCATTTGGTACTTCTTTTCATTTTTGCTTCTGTGTCTGTAATTTATATTCCTCTTATGAATAGTTTCTATGATTATCAAATCTACTAGGGTGGCATAGAAAGGGTTTTAAATCTTTTATTTCTTTTTAACCACTTCTAGAACTTCTTTTCATTCTCTATTTCCTTTCTACTCTCTCTTCCTGACCATGTTGTTTGCTAGATAATACATTATGAGATTCCAAACTCGTCAGAAACTTTTGTTCATCGAACTGGCCGAACTGGTCGTGCTGGGAAGAAAGGAAGTGCGATTCTCATCTATACTCAGGAGCAGGCAAGGGCTGTGAGGGGTATTGAGAGAGAAGTAGGGTGCAAATTTACTGAGGTACATGTTTTCATGTTTAAATCTATTCGTCCGGTAAAGATCTCACTTGGGGTTTCCTGAATTTTCTCATAACATTCAAATTTTTATGGATTTGTGTTGCAATCAAGGAGATATCATACTGAATGCTTGGATGTGGATCTTGGTCTGTTTTCTCTCTGATGCACATTGATCTGCATGTTTATTTACTATTGATTTTTTCCCACTCATTTGGATTTTTCAGATTTTTGCTTATTTGAAGTAAAATTGTGCTTTTGGCTCTGGATAACATGCATGTTTATGTGTGTTTTTCTATGAACATATTGGATCTGGTAAATGTTTTCTCACATTAGTGAATTAAGATTCTAACTTACTCCCTGATATATAATTCTCAGCTCCCTAGGATCAGTGCTGCCGATGGAAGCGGGGACCTCTTCAATCAGATGGGAAATGGTTTTCGATCTGGGTCT